GACCTCCCGGGAGCAAGGGATCACAAGGTTGCCTAAGGAGGGTTGAACCAGCCCAGGTGGGAAACGGAGCAGGTCAAAACTCCCATGCTAATCAGTAGTGGGATTGTGCCACTGCGCTCCAGCCTGGGCAGCTAGCAAGACCCTGTCTCTAAAAAAATAAAAATAAAAAAGAGAAAGGACAAATATGGACATAGAAGGTGATGAAGATAAGTGCAGTTCCAAAAGATCCTTCTTACAACCAATACACATCTTTTTTTTTTTCTGAGATGGAGTGTTGTTCTTTTTTTTTTTTTTTTTTTGGAGTGTTGTTCTTATTGCCCAGGATAGAGTGCAATGGCGGAATCTCAGCTCACCACAACCTCCACCTCCCGAGTTCAAGCGATTCTTCTCCTGCCTTAGCCTCCTGAGTACCTGGGATTGCAGGCGCCTGCCACCAAGCCCGGCTAATTTTGTGTTGTTGTTGTTGTTGCTGTTGTTGTTGTTTTCAGACAAAGTACCATTTTGTCCCCAGGCTTTGAGTGCAGTGACATGATCTCAGCTCACTGCAATCTCCACCTCTCGGGTTCAAGAGATTCTCCTCCCTCAGCCTCCCAAGTAGCTGAGACTACAGGCGTCTGCCACCACGCCCAGCTAATTTTTGTATTTTTAGTAGAGACAGGGTTTCACCATGTTAGCCAAGATGGTCTGGATCTCTTGACCTCATGATCCACCCTCCTCAGCCTCCCAAAGTGATGGGATTACAGGCATGAGGCACCATGCTCAGCCTAATTTTGTATTATTATTTTTTTTTCTCAGCATATGCTTTTATTAACGTGGCTGTTTACAGGAGCTGAAGCTCTTAGTTTGCAGTGATGACTCTTGAACTTCTTTTTCAACTAGCCCAACTGCTTCTTCCCATGCTTCCGGACCAGCTGCTGGTCCACGTCCCTCTCCCTTCTGCCCTCATCAGTGGCCTTCTCTCTTGGGGGCTCTGCCTTCTTTTCCTCTTTGTCAAAAAGCCATCAGTGCCATCTGCATCCTCTATGCTTCCAAGGTCCCTTCTGGTGAGCAGCTCAGGTGGGTACAGGTCTGTCATGCTGTCCTCACTTGGAGCTCCCTCTAATCACTGGATGTGGGCTCTCAGAAGGCTTCCCACCGGCGAGGCCCATCACTCTCCATCTGGTCCTCCCTCCTCCTCCTCCGGTGCACAGGCAGGCAGAAACGTAGTCTCCCCCTTGCTTCTGACATTCCTCATATTTACACAGAGCTTGCTGGCGCCGCTGGCCCTGCGTGTGCCTCAGCACATGTTCTGGGCTCTTGTTGATGTGCCACAGGGTGAGTTTGCAGAACAACTGATGCAGGTTCTTGGTGCTGGGCACAACGTGCGTCTCGAACTCAGCGTAGTCCAAGGCCGGGGAGGTGTGGACCAGCTGCTGGTACTTCTTGCCACGGGTGTAGACCTGGGGCAGGCGGCAGTGCAGCTCGTGACCCGTTAGGATGCACCTCGCCTCGTGGGCGTCCAGTTGGAGCTGCATCCTGGGTGCTCTAGCAGGAAGGCCCACAGGTCAGCTGGCAGCTCGCTCATGGTCTGGCTGCCCACACAGCAGCCTGAGGACGCCGAATTGTGTTTTTATTTTCTTTCTTTTTCTTTTTTTTTTTGATACAGAGTCTCACTCTATCACCCAGGTTAGAGTGCAGTGGTGCAATCTCGGCTCACTGCAACATTCACCTCCTAGGTTCAAACAATTCTCCTGCCTCAGCCTCTCGAGTAGCTGGGACTACAGGCATATGCCACCATGCCCGGCTAATTTTTTTTTTTTTTTTTTTTTTTTTTTGAGACGGAGTTTCGCTCTTGTTACCCAGGCTGGAGTGCAATGGTGCGATCAGCCTCCTGAGTAGTGGGATTACAGGCACGTGCCACCATGCCCAGCTAATTTTTTGTATTTTTAGTAGAGATGGGGTTTCACCGTGTTGACCAGGATGGTCTCGATCTCCTGACCTCGTGATCCACCCGCCTCAGCCTCCCAAAGTGCTGGGATTACAGGCTTGAGCCACCGCGCCCAGCTAATTTTGTGTTTTTAATAGAAACAGGGTTTCACCATATTGGCCAGGCTGGTCTTGAACTTCTGACCTTGTGATCTGCCCACTTCGCCTCCCAAAGTGCTAGGATTACAGGGGTGAGCCACCACACCTGGCCTAATTTTGCATTTTTAATAGAGATGGGGTTCTTCATATTGTTCAGGCTGGTCTCGAACTCCCAACATCTGGTGATCCACCCGCCTTGGCCTGCCGAAATCTTGGGATTACAGGCGTGAGGCACCGCACCTGGCCTTAATTTTAATTTTTTTTTTTTTTTTTTTTTTTTTTTTTTTTTTTTTTGAGATGCAGTTTCATTCTTGTTACCCAGGCTGGAGTGCAATGGCAGGATCTCGGCTCACCGTAACTTCCGCCTCCTGGGTTCAGGCAATTCTCCCGCCTCAACCTCCTGAGTAGCTGGGATTACAGGCACGCGCCACCATGCCCAGATAATGTTTTTTGTATTTTTAGTAGAGACGGGGTTTCACCATGTTGACCAGGTTGGTCTCAATCTCTTGACCTCGTGATCCACCCGCCTCGGCCTCCCAAAGTGCTGGGATTACAGGCTTAAACCACCGCTCCCGGCCTATTTTAATTTTTTATGGGAAAATCCTGTCTCAAAAAAAAAAAAAAAAAAGCCGGGCATAGTGACTCATTCCTGTAATCCCAGCAATTTGGGATGCCTAGGTGGGTGGATCACTTGAGGTCAGGAGTTCGAGACCAGCCTGGCCAATATGGTGAAACCCCCATCTCTACTAAAAATACAAAAAAAGAAAAGAAAAATTAGCCGGGATTGGTGGTGGGCACCTGTAATTTCAGCTACTTGGGAGGCTAAGGCTGGAGAATCACTTGAACTCAGAAGGCAAAGGTTGCAGTGACCAGAGATCACGCCATTGCACTCCAACCTGGGTGACAAGAGCAAAACTCTGTGTCAAAAAAAAAATAAAAATAAAAATAGCCAGGTGCGGTGGCTCAGGCCTGTGATCCCAGCACTTTGGGAGGCCAAGGTGGGCGGATCACCTGAGAACAGCCTGACCAAGATGGAGAAACCCCATCTCTACTAAAAATATAAAATTAGCTGGATGTGGTGGCACATGCCTGTAATCCCAGATACCCGGGAGGCTGAGGCAGGAGAATCGCTTGAACCCAGGAGATGGTGGAGGTTGTGGTGAGCCAAGATCACACTGTTGCACTCCAGCCTGGGCTACAAGAGCGAAACTCCATCTCAAAAAATAAATAAATAAATAAAAATAATTTGTTTCTTTCTTTTTTTCTTTTTTCTTTCTTTTTTTTTTTTTTAAGACGGAATTTCACCATGCTAGCCAGGATGGTCTCGATCTCCTGACCTCATGATCCACCTGCCTTGGCCTCCCAAAATGCTGGCATTACAGGTGTGAGCCACCGCGCTGAGCCTTTTTTCTTTCTTTCTTTCTTTCTTTCTTTTTGAGTTCTTTTTTCTTTTTTAGACAGGATCTCATGCTATCACCAAGGCTGGAGAGCAGTGGCGTAATCATGGCTCACTACAGCCTTGGACTCCTGGGTTCCAGGGATCTGCTTACTTCTGCCCCCAAGTAGCTGGGGCTAGAACAGGTGCACACCACCATGTCTGACTTATTTATTTATTTATTTATTTTATAGAGGCAGAGAGTTTCACTATGTTGCTCAGGCTAGCCTTGAACTCCTGGGCTCAAGGGATCCTCTCACCTTGGCCTCCCAAAGTGCTTGGATTACAAGTGTGAGCACCGTTTTTGTTTGTTTGTTTGTTTTTGTTTTTTTGAGACAGAGTCTCACTTTGTCACCCAGGCTGGAGTGCAGTGGCGTGATCTCAGCTCACTGTAACCTCCACCTCCCAAGTTTAAGTGATTCTCCTGCTTCAGCCTCCCAAGTAGCTGGGACTGCAGGCACCTGTCACCATGTCCAGCTAATTTTTTGTATTTTTAGTAGAGATGGGGTTTCACCGTTTTAGCCAGGATGGTCTCAATCTCCTGACCTTGTAATCCAGCCCCCTAGGCCTCCCAAAGAGTTTAGATTATAGGCGTGAGCCACCACACTCGGCCACCGCACTGGGTCTTAAATACTTTTTTCCTTTTTTTTGGTAATTTTTTCACCCCCCAGCACACATATAGCAAGAATAATTTTTTTCTAAAGGCAGAGATAAACTTGTTTCTTTATAGCCACGCTGCCCATTTTCAGCTTCCTGGTTACCAAGGCTACGCATTCACAGCCTATTGAGTGAGGTTTCAGGAATACTGCACCTTAACAGGCCATATTAAAAGATCCATGTGAAGAATGACACTTATAGTTCAAATCTCTGTTTTCCTAAGCTATTTGGTCAGAGAAGTCACACATGGGGCCCCATAAGGGAGATCGTTTCAACTGAAGCTCCAGGATGTGTCTAGGTGGGGCTCTGTGTGTTGGGGTGATGGGGCCGATTCTTTGTAACTAATTTACGTTTTCATCCTTTTCCACCAGGGGGCAGACTGACTCAACAAATAACCTACTTCTGCCCATCCCGCTTTTTTCAAAGGGAATTAGGATCCTTAGAACTAAGGGCTTGGACCACTAACATTAAAATTCTAGGACTGGCTTTTAGTCTGCCCCAGAAAACGATCATAATTCATCTCCTAGCTTCGTTGAATAGCACCTCCCAAATTCAGTCCCAAATTTTTGTCAGTTTCCAGTGCCCTTCCCACCTTCACTCTTATTCCCAAAACTCTTTTCCCTTCCCCTGATCCCTCTAAAATTTATCTTCATCTGCTCGTCGTGGTTAAACCTCTACTTCCCTACACCCTAGCCTCTCTGGGGGGAACTACAGTTACAAAAAGGCTGTGGAAAATAGCGAGACAGACAGACCGGCCTAAGCTGGGAAGGGAAAACAGAGAGATCAGAGGCCGGAGGGTGTGGGCGGGCAGGGGGTGGAGCCCGGAGGAGTGCCGCCTCTCTTTCCCGGAGCCTGGGCGGAGAGGGAGGAAAACTTCCTGGCCAGGGCTCCGTGCCGCTGTTTGCCAGCCGTCCAATCCCGCCTACCAGTGCCAGGAGCTCCCCACCCCACCCCCGGCTCCCCCGGTGTCCGCCATGGCCAAAGCCTACGACCACCTCTTCAAGTTGCTGCTGATCGGGGACTCGGGGGTGGGCAAGACTTGTCTGATCATTCGCTTTGCAGAGGACAACTTCAACAACACTTACATCTCCACCATCGGTGAGCCCGCTGGCCATGTCCCAGACCCCGACTCTCCTGTGACCTCAGTCTCAGGCTCCCGGTTTACTAGTGACCCCACTCTTCAGTTCCCTTACAGTAAGGCTCCTAAATTCTAGTTCCTCAACCCCTGGCTCTGACCCCTCCCCCTGCATGTCTCTGTATAGTTAACCAAACCTCTCACCTCTTTGAGGCCTTCAGGTAACTCTTCAACTGCTGCCAGCCCCTCATTTTCTTGGTACCATCTCCTTAGTCTCTCCAAATCCACAAGAACCCTTCTCTGTTTTCCTCTGAGCCCCTCTTCCCCATCCTCACCACCTGGAACTCTCTCGATCCACCCTCCACGTTTCCCCTATCCCTCTGGGACGCATCTTTTTCTCCAGATCCTCCAGCCTCTTTCAGTCCTGCTGAGCTTCAAACTCTCCCACTGCGTCCCCACCTCTCCATCTACTTCCCAGTTTTCCCACCCCACTCTTCCTGCACCTCAGCTGAACAGGAGTTTGGGAAGAGTGGAACAAGGTGGCTGAGTGTGCTGGAGGGTGGCCCAAGGACTGTGATCTGGAATACATAGCCAGCTTGGTGACGGACATGGAAATGAGGGGACTTTTGGGGTCTCTGAGTCAGCCTGGTGACTCATCCTCCTCCCAGGGGCCCCCAGCAGGCTTGGGGGAGGTGTCCAAGTTTCTACTGAGAAGAACACTGTCTCCCCTCCTCCCTTCTCATCTTTCTTCATCTCCTCTGGTTTGGAAAATAGGAAGACTCTTATGACAATTCTGGTTACAAAGGAAAAGGAAAAATGCCCCTCTTTCCTAACTGTCTCAAGAGTAATCCTGTTCAGCCTCAGACTTTCCTAGTGCCAAGTTTGGCCCACTAGTTAATTCACATAGACTGGCTTCAGCTACTTTTTTTCCTCACTGTTTTCGAGGAGGGCGGGTGGCATACCAATAGTAGAAGGCTCTAAGAAAACAGAAAAGAGGAATGTGAAAGTAATTTTTGGAGGGAGGGAGAGACTGAATTCAGAGAGTTGTTAGCTGGCATAGCTGAAGGGACCCAAGAGGTGGCTTAAGAATCTTTAAGCCTCCATGCAGAATTTTCACACCTTCTCCCTCCCAAAATCCATAAAATCTAAGTAAAAATAGTATTCTTGCTGTACAAATACAGCTTTGGGAAAATTCTCTTAGCTTGGCATTTCCAACAAGATTGCTCCTCAAGTGCCTTCCCTGCAGAATTTCTGGTGCTGACACTGCTCGGTCCCCGTCCCTCCCATCACACAGTTTTACAGGTGTGCAATGCATGTCTCAACTTCAGTGCACACCTTCTACCCCTAGGAATTGACTTCAAGATCCGCACTGTGGATATAGAGGGGAAGAAGATCAAACTGCAAGTCTGGTAAGTGAATCCCCTGGGAAGCCTAGCCAGACTTCCCCATTTACCTCCTACATGCTTTTCCTGATATTTTGTTTCATTTCTCATTCCCCATTGCTCTTTCTAGCACTTCTAATCTGTTTCTCTTGATGCACTCAGCTGTCCTTCCATCTCTCTTCCTGCCCTCTCAACTAGTTTCAGTTTTTTTGTAACTCTTGCCTCCTCTGGCTGCAGAGGATTCTCTTAATTTGACAACAAACAACTGTTCAGTTATAATGTGGAAACAGGCTGTGAGCAGTTAAATGGCAATGGCGGAATTAAGACTTGACTCTAAGTCTACTGTTTTCTCCAAACCAGGGTGAGTCCAGAAAGCCAAGTACAGACCCTGAAGGTGTTTAAGTGATATTAAGCTTAGTGGAGGCATTATGCTATGATATATCAGAGCAGACTGGTGCTCAAATCCAGTTCTTTTACTTATCTGCTTCCTGACCTTCATTAATTATTCAACCTACCCAAATCTGTTTCCTCTTTTTTTTTTTTTTTGAGATGGAGTTTTTCTTTGTCGCCAGGTTGGAGTGCAGCGAGCGGTGTGATCTTGGTTCACCGCAACCTCTGCCTCCTGGGTTCAAGCAATTCCCCTGCCTCAGCCTCCTGAGTAGCTGGGACTACAGGCACAAGCCACCATGCCCAGCTAATTTTTTGTATTTTATTAGAGACGGGGTTTCACCATGTTGGCCAGGCTGGTCTTGAATTTCTGACCTCATGATCCACCCTCCTCGGCCTCCCAAAGTGCTGAGATTACAGGCATGAGCCACTGTGCCCAACCTTTTGTTTTTTTCTTGAGACAGAGTCTTGCTCTGTCTCCCAGGCTGGAGTGCAATGGCACGATCTCGGTTCACTGCAACCTCTGCCTCCCAGGTTCAAGTGATTCTTTGCTTCAGCCTCCCGAGTAGCTTACAGGCACCTGCTACCACACTCGGCTAATTTTTGTGTATTTTTACTATCTTGGCCAGGCTGGTCGTGAAGTCCTGACCTCGTATCTATCCACCTCGGCCTCCCAAAGTGTTTGGAGTATTGCAGGCTTTAACCACTGCACCAGGCGTTTTTTTTTTTTTTTTGAGACGGAGTTTTGCTCTTGTAATCCAGGCTGTAGTGCAGTGGAGCAATCTCGGTTCACTGCAACCTCCGCCTCTCGGGTTCAAGCAGTTCTCCTGCCTCAGCCTTCCAAGTAGCTGGGATTACAGGCGCCTGCCACCATGTCTGGCTAATTTTTTGTATTTTTAGTAGAGACAGGGTTTCACCATGTTGGCCAGGCTGGTCTTTTTTTTTTCTTTTCTTTCTTTTTTTTTTTTTTATAAAGATGGTGTTTCACCATGATAGCCAGGCTGGTCTTGAACTCCTGACCTCAGGTGATCCACCCATCTTGGCCTCCCAAAGTGCTGTGATTACAGGCATGAGCCATTGCACCCGGCATGTTTCCTCATTTCTGAAATAGGGACAATAATACTTGTCTTACAAGCAGAGAGTAAGAATTAGGTAAAGTCACACATGCACAGTGCTTGATACATAGCAATCATTCAGTGAATAAGCAAGAGACATCTTTTTTCTTGGGCCACTACCATCTCTGGAAATCAGCTCAACTGTCTTTAATCCCATTCCCCTTTACAGTTTTCTTATTCTCTTGTCCCACCATATTGCAAAAGCTAAATTCATGTGCGAGAGAAAGAATTCCTCCATTGGAGAATTCTTTCCTCTATTCCATCCTGTGAAACCTTCTTTAGGGACACGGCTGGCCAAGAGCGATTCAAGACAATAACTACTGCCTACTACCGTGGAGCCATGGTATGAAGTATGGGTCTGGGCAAAGGATGAAGGCAACAGAATATGGTTTTATGAATATAAAGGGTCAGGGTTGGGGCAGGTAAAAATGGGAGGGGCGCAGTGTGGATCGCAGCAGGCTCAACATGGCCTAGTGTTTAGACCCATGGATGGAACTTGCAGGGTCACTTACAGGGCAGTGGGAAGCCTCAACAGGAGTATGGTCCAAGGTGAATTTTGTCATCTCCCAGGGCATTATCCTAGTATACGACATCACGGATGAGAAATCTTTCGAGAATATTCAGAACTGGATGAAAAGCATCAAGGAGGTGAGGACCTCCAAAAGAAATGGGGGAACTGGGTAGAACCTGGAGGATGAAGGGGTCCATCAGGATAGGCAGGACCTAACTTTTTTTTTTTTTTTTTTGAGACGGAGTTTCGCTCTTGTTACCCAGGATGGAGTGCGATGGCGCAATCTCAGCTCACCGCAACCTCCGCCTCCTGGGTTCAGGCAATTCTCCTGCCTCAGCCTCCTGAGTAGCTGGGATGACAGGCACGCGCCACCGTGCCCAGCTAATTTTTTGTATTTTTAGTAGAGACGGGGTTTCACCATGTTGACCAGGATGGTCTCCATCTCTTGACCTTGTGATTCACCCGCCTCTGCCTCCCAAAGTGCTGGGATTACAGGCTTGAGCCACCGCGCCCAGCTTTTTTTTTTTTTTTTTTTTTTTTGAGATGGTGTCTTGCTCTGTCACCAGGCTAGAGTGCAGTGGCACGATCTCAGCTCACTGCAACCTCCGTCTCCTGGGTTCAAGCAGTTCCCCTGCCTCAGCTTCTGAGTAGCTGGGACTACAGGCGTGCACCACCACGCCTGGCTAATTTTTTGTATTTTAGTAGAGACAGGGTTTCACCATGTCCAGGATGGTCTCGATCTCCTGACCTCGTGATCAGCCCCCCTTGGCCTCCCAAAGTGCTGGGATTACAGGCCTAAGGCACTGCGCCAGGCTGGCAGGATCTTTTACTTGTCTCTTCCTGCAGAATGCTTCTGCTGGGGTGGAGCGCCTCTTGCTAGGAAACAAATGTGACATGGAGGCCAAGAGGAAGGTGCAGAAGGAGCAGGCCAATAAGGTGAGGGCCAGGCTGGGCAATGTTCTAGAAATGGGCTGGGAGGGCTGAGAGGAGGTAGCACTGCAGAGGACTTGGCTGCCGCCCCTACTTCAATTCTCGCCTTCCCACTTCACCTCTTATAGTTGGCTCGAGAGCATGGGATCCGATTTTTCGAAACTAGTGCTAAATCCAGTATGAATGTGGATGAGGTGAGCTCCACACGCCCATTCCCTACCAAGAGAGGAAGTACGGGAAGGTAGATTCTCCTCCCCTCCAAACTGACTCTATTCCCCACTTTAGGCTTTTAGTTCCCTGGCCCGGGACATCTTGCTCAAGTCAGGAGGCCGGAGATCAGTAAGTTGGTTTTGCTGGGCTAGGTACAACTCTGGGGTGTGTGTGTGTGTTGGTAAAAACTGAGGAGAGGAGCGATGCTGAGATTTCTCATGAGGGTAGATTCACTTCAAACAATTTATGCCCTAACCAGCCATTCACACCGTGACCCCTGTGCCCTTCTCCCTCTAGGGAAACGGCAACAAGCCTCCCAGTACTGACCTGAAAACTTGCGACAAGAAGAACACCAAGTGCTCCCTGGGCTGAGGACCCTTTCTCGCCTCCCCACCCCGGAAGCTGACCTGAGGGAACAGGGCAGAGGGAGTGAGCAGGGGAGAAACAGCAGAGGGGCTTGCAGGGACAGACAGGTAGATGGTAAAGAGAATGAGAAGAAAATGGAGAAAAGGGACAAGCAGAAAAGAAAGAAGAGAGAGGTAGGGAGAAGGGAGGGGAGAAATTGAGGAAGTGAAAGGAGGTGAGGAGGCAGGGAGAGAGAGAGGAGGAACGGAAGGGGAGATGGCCTCAGGCTTCAGACCTTCCCTGGGTTTTCAGAGCAAACATAAATGCAAATACACTGATTATTCTGTTACTACATCAGGGTTTAGCGTCCTGCGAACGGCTGGCTCGGCACTACTCTGAAGATTTGTTCCTGTTCTGTCACTTTTCATGGTCTTTCTTGGTATTAAAGGCCACCGTTTGCACAAATGTTCCTGGTTTGGGTAACTTGGATTATTGTCAGAATTGTTCTCCACACAAATCCAATTATTTTGTCTCCAGAGTGTTTGATCTACCTCAGTCAGGCTGGGTTTCTGTGGAACCAGGACTAATCCTACCCCTGTCTCTTCCCCACCGTTCAGTTGGTAAGGAAAATAGCAAACAGCAGGAGATAAAGTGAAGGTCTGGATATCCTCTTTTCACTATGGGGCCTTTGTGGGCAGAGCCTTGTCCTGAGCACAAGAAATTCCAACAGGGAGGGACTCTAACAGCCCTAGCCTCAGGGACATAACTGCAGCTCGTGTTTATCCGTGATTTTTGCAAGCTTCTTGATTCTGCCAGCAATCCATTTAGGTATTTAATAGGCATTAATATCTGCTTTTATTGGTGTGGAAAATGAGAAGTTTATATTCACAGATGTATACTGAGCAATTTAAATATATGTTGAACATCTACAAGTGCCAGGCACAATGGTCAGTTACTTTATTTATTTATTGAGAGAGTCTTGCTCTGTCACCCAGGCTGGAGTGAAGTGGTGTGATCTCGGCTCACTGCAACCTTCACCTCCTGCCTCAGCCTCTCGAGTAGCTGGGATTACAGGCATGAGCCACCGTGCCTGGCCGTAATAGTCAGTTAATATAGCCCTTGAGTGTTACTTACAAGCAGAAGGTCAAGCAATTTTTTTTTTTTTCTTAGATTGAGACTCACGCTGTCACCCAGCCGGGAGCGCAGTGGCATGATCCTGGCTCACTGCAACCTCTGCCTCCCCGGATCAAGTGATTCTTCTGCCTCAGCCTCCTGAGTAGCTGGGATTACAGGCACATACCACCATGCACAGCTAATTTTTGTGTTTTTAGTAGAGACAGGGTTTTGCCATATTGGCCAGGCTGGTCGTAAATTCTTGGGCTCAAGTGATCTGCTAGCCTCGGCCTCCCAAAGTGCTGGGATTACAGGCATGAGACACTGTACCCAGCCCCAGGACAAGTAAATTTTAACAAAAACAGCTCATTGGCCAGGTCTGAACTTTGGGAGGCCGAAGCGGATGGATCATGAGGTCAGAAGTTCAAGACCGGCCTCACCAAGATGGTAGAACTCTACCTCTACTAAAAAAATATATTTTTTTTTGAAACGGAGTTTCGCTCTTGTTACCCAGGCTGGAGTGCAATGGCGCGATCTCGGCTCACCGCAGCCTCCGCCTCCTGGGTTCAGGCAATTCTCCTGCCTCAGCCTCCTGAGTAGCTGGGATTACAGGCACGCGCCACCATGCCCAGCTAATTTTTTGCACTTTTAGTAGAGACGGGGTTTCACCATGTTGACCAGGATGGTCTCGATCTCTCGACCTCGTGATCCACCCGCCTCGGCCTCCCAAAGTGCTGGGATTACAGGTTTGAGCCACCGCGCCCGGCCTTATTTCTTGTATTTTTAGTAAAGACGGGGTTTCACCATGTTGACCAGGATGGTCTCGATCTCTCGACCTCGTGATCCACCCGCCTCGGCCTCCCAAAGTGCTGGGTTTACAGGCTTGAGCCACCGCGCCCGGCCTTAAAAATTTTTTTAAATACAAAAATTAGCCAGGTGTGATGGCAGGTGCCTGTAATCCCAGCTACTTGGGAGGCTGAGGCAGGAGAATCACCTGAACCCTGGGGGTGGAGGTTGCAGTGAGCTGAGATCATGCTATTGCACTCCAGCCTTGGCAGCAAGAGCAAAACACCATTTCAAACAAACAAAAATAGCTCTTTACTGAGTAACAAAAATAGCAAAACTACTGGAAGTGCAAAAGAAAATTCAGGCTTGAGGCATAGCATCCTTAAGTATACATATGTAGCCCCTTCTACCATACACAATATTTTTTTTTTTTTTTTTTTTTGAGACGGAGTTTCGCTCTCGTTACCCAGGCTGGAGTGCAATGGCGCGATCTCGGCTCACCGCAACCTCCGCCTCCTGGGCTCAGGCAATTCTCCTGCCTCAGCCTCCTAAGTAGCTGGGATTACAGGCACGCACCACCATGCCCAGCTAACTTTTTGTATTTTTAGTAGAGACGGGGTTTCACCTTGTTGACCAGGATGGTCTCGATCTCTCGACCTCATGATCCACCTGCCTCGGCCTCCCAAAGTGCTGGGATTACAGGCTTGAGCCACCGCGCCCGGCCTACACAATATTTTTTACACAGCAAAAGTAATTCACAGGTTTGATCTTTTTTTCAGGATCAATGAAAATATCAGATTTGTTTTAAACAAAATGTACCATTGGAAGTTTTATTCAGGGCCGGGTATGGTGGCTCATGCCTGTAATCTCAGCCCTTTGGGAGGCTGAGGCAGGTGGATCATGAGTTCAGGAGTCAAGACCATCCTGGCCAACATGGTGAAACCCTGTCTCTGCTAAAAATACAAAAATTAGCCAGGTGTGGTGGCAGGTGCCTGTAGTCCCAGCTACTCGGGAGGCTGAGGCAGGAGAATCGCTTGAACCCGGGAGGTGGAGGTTGCAGTGAGGCAAGATCACCCCATTGCACTCCAGCTTGGTGACAAAGTGAGACTCCATCTCAAAAAAAAAAAAAAAAAGTTTTATTCAAGAAGGGTGCAATGGCTCACACCTGTAATCCCTGTACTTTGAAAGGCTAAGGCAGGTGGATCACCTGAGGTCAGGAGTTCAAGACCAGCCTGGGCAACATGGTAAAACTCTGTCTCTACTAAAAATAGAAAAATTAGCCAGGCAAGGTGGCATGTGTCTGTAATCCCTGCTCCTTGGTAGACTGAGGCATGAGAATTGCTTTAACCTGGCAGGCAGAGGTTGCAGTGAGCCAGGATCACACCACTGCACTCTAGCCTGGGTAATGGAGTGAAACTTGTCTCAAAAACAAACAAAAAACGTGTTTTTTTTTTCAGGCCGGGCACACTGGTTCACATCTGTAATCCTAACACTTTGGGAATCTCAAGAGGGAGGATTGCTTGAGTTCAGGAGCTGAAGACCTACCTGGGCAACATAGGGAGACCCCATCTTTACAAAAAAAAAAAAATAGCCAAGTATGGTGGCACATGCCTGCGGTCCCCACTACATGGGAGGCTGAGGTGGGAGGATCACTTGAGTCCAGAAGGTCACTGCTGCAATGAGCCATTATTGCAGCACTGCTTGGGAAACAAAGAAAGACCCTATCTCCTAAGATAAAATAAAATAAAAGGCTTTTTTCATTGATACAGTGTTCAAGGTAATTAAGAAATCTCCAGCTCTTCAGTGTAAAAGTGAATGGCACTACCCTAGAGTCAGCGACAGTCTTTTTCTGTGCTGCTCTCTCTCTCTCTTTTTTTTTAAATGCAGGTTTATTTGGGTGATTGTTTAGCAGTTGTCTCCCTTGCCATCTGCAAAAGCCCCGGTATCCCGTACAAAGCCTGGCACTTAGAAGGGGGTGCAACTTAGGGTTTTTTTGTTTTGTTTTGTTTTAGAGACAGGCTCTCACTCTGTCACCCAGGCTGGAGTACAGTGGCACAATTGCAGCTCACTGCAGCCTCGTGCTCCCAGACTCAAGCAATCCTCCTACCTTAGCCTTCTGAGTGGCTGGGACTACAGGCAGCTGCCACCACGCCCGACTAATTTGTGTATCTTTTGTAGAGACAAGGCTTCACCATGTTGCTCAGGCTAGTCTCAAACTCCTGAGCTCAAGGAATCCTCCTGCCTCAGCCTCCCAAAGTGCTGTGATTACAGGTGTGAGCCACTGAACCCAGCTTGTGCTGCTATTTCTGTTGACAAAAGACAGTACTTTAAAAAAAGTCTGATGGTGCTGGGAGAAATAATAATTTGATAAATGTAACAATTTGATAAATGTAAGTATCCAAGCATTGATGGGGTAATGAGAAGCCTTATTTGTGCCTTATGTTTGAGTTCTGTAGTAAACTGTCTAGCTGGTTTAATTTGCTCAGCAGATGAGGAAAGACTGGCACTTTGTGGATCCCAGGGAGACTAACGTCTTCAACATACTTCAGGGCAGATTATCTAATTTCAGAGTAGAGACCCCACTCTGCTGCCTTTCAGGTTACCGGAAGTGAAATCTTACAAGAGCTTACAGTTTGTTAAAAGATAAGGTAGGATTAGGTGAGGAGTAACAAATACTAGCAGATTTCAGCCCAAACTTTAATTATAGCTAAACATTACTGGAAAAAAGCCCACAACCTACTTTATGTAACATACAACTACATACATATACAAAAATTATATATATATATATATATATATATACACACACACACACACACACACATACACAATTTCAGCAAACACAAATAATTTAGAGAAACACATTCAAAATTAGAAAATTAGAGTCAGATATGGTGGCACATGACTGAAATCTCAGCTACTTCAGAAGATCCCTGAAGACCAGAAGTTGCAGGCTGTGGTGCATTGTGATGGCTGTGACTTGCCACTGCACTCCATCTCGTTAAAAACAAAAACAAGCAAACAAACAAAAAACAGCAAAATGAAAGTTCAGCTCTCATCAGGATTTTTTCTTTTTTTAAAATTTATTATTATTATTATTTTTTTTTTTTTTGAGATGGAGTTTCGCTCTTGTTACCCAGGCTGGAGTGCGATGGCACGATCTTGGCTCACCACAACCTCCGTCTCCTGGGCTCAAGCAATTCTCCTGCCTCAGCCTCCTGAGTACCCGGGATTACAGGCATGTGCCACCATGCCCAGCTAATTTTTTGTATTTTTAGTAGAGACGGGGTTTCACCATGTTGACTAGGATGGTCTCGATCTCTTGACCTCGTGATCCACCCGTCTCGGCCTCCCAAAGTGTTGGGATTACAGGCGTGAGCCACTGCGCCCGGCTTATTATTTTTTAAAAACGGGGTTTCACCATGTTGGTCAGGCTGGTCTTGAACTCCTGACCTCAGGTGATCTGCCCACCTTGGCCTCCAAAGTGCTTGGATTACAGGCGTGAGCCACTATGCCTGGCCGGTTTTATTTTTTTCAGCTCTCATTCAATGGTCTTTCCACAGTCTG